GCGCCTGCCAAGGGACGGTAGCAAAGGCTGCTCTGCAGTGGCGGTGGCAGAGGTGTTGGGGTTGCCCTGCTTGAAGCCACTTCCAGACATGTTCACCCAGCTTCCAGCATGCGACTCGGTTCCCAAGGGCGAGGGTTGCTGGGAGAGGGCAGGACTTGCCACCCGCTCAATATTTGGGGAGCAGTGCGGCGATGCCGCGTGTGGAGCGCTTGTACGTACACCTGGCGTGGTGGTGGAGCTGTGGTAGGTACTCCCAGACTTGCGGTCTGGTTCCTCAGTTGCACATAAATAACCAAACTTGAGGAAATTGGACCAGCCCACAGCCATTTATCAGGAAATAAAAGGAGACTAAATTTATAAGGGACTGATTCCCAGGGAATGGTTCATTTCCCATGTTCTGGGGCTGGTGTGAGAGCTGTTGATGAGGTTCGCAGCAGATAGCATCCAACCCATTTCAGATCTGTGGGAGTGTGACCGCAGCTTTATGCTATCAATATTTAGAGAGATATCTTCTAATTAAAGGGAAAAGCATGCAAGTCTTGCTAAAGGAATCTGAAAGCTCCTTCACACAGTAATTAAAATTTTAGTGGGACTTTGATGTTGCACACAAGGTAATTGCAGATGCAATCTACCTCTTAACAACAGAATCTCACAGTGTTTTTATGGAGTTATTAATTACAGAAGGTGGAAGGTACAGTGGACATGCACATATAGACTTGGAATGTAGACCTCTAATGAGTTTCATTACATCTAACAAGAAGCCACATAGCTGCTCATACACCTTAGCACAAGGATGTGATGGACAGAGAACCAAACAGACCTCAAATAAGTCGAAGCTGAACTACTTCCCGTTTCTTTCGTGAAAGGCAACAGCGAGAAGTAACGGAATTCTGTGTGTGCTGGTGCTTGATGGTGCCGAGCACAGCCTTAGCTGGGGGATGAATTGGTGAGTCCTTATGCATTGGGTGAACAATAGGCTACACAAGGCCTAAATTCTAATTTATGTTGTAAAAATACAGCAGGGAGTCTGCCAACGTTTACAGCTCGAAGTAGGCCTGTTGCTGATCAGATATTAGCCAAGACTGTGTTTAAAGAGAACATAAATTTTTAGGGCATCTTTGATGCTGCTTGATAACCATTTCTGCACAGAGTACAGCTGCGTTGCCCGTTCAGGTATCCAGCAGCGTTAGTCAACCCGTGGCATGCCAACGTTAACGAATATTAGAAAGAACCTGTAAAAACCAAATAGATTTCAGTGTAGAAGCATCTGCAACTAAGCAGGGAATATTAGCCTTTTTTTTTTCCCATCAAAACCTGCAGTTACAGGACTGCAAGCCATTTGATTTGTATCCTTTTGGCCCCAGAATGGAACACCCAGTCTTTCTTCCCAGTGGCAGTAGGAAGGAGGAGCTGCTGTGGCTGTAGATGCTCGGTGCAATAGGTTTAGCGAGAGCGTTTGCTCCCCGACCTTTCAGTGAGGCGAAGGCTAGCGTTTGCTGCTGTCTGAGGACTAGAAAAATACTCTGCATTCCCCAAACACCCATTATCCCTTCCTAGTAAGAAGTACCAGGCTTACACAATTAGTCTCGCACTGGATAACGACTCCGTTGTTAGGCTGTTCATTATTGGTTTAGTTTTTTTGGTGGGGGAGGGGAAAAACCTCATGTCTTTGGCTTACTGAGGGATTGTTGACCTTTCATTTTAAATTTCCGCTTAACATTTCATCTGAAAGTAATCTGAGAAGGTTTCAGCCTGTGTCAGGGCACAAATGGTGCCGGCAGCTGCCTTGGGAGGCTCGGCTTTAGTTCCCAATCAGCAAGGAAATCACAGTTTTTATAGCTGCTGGTGCAAAATTTACTGCATGCTATAACTTCAGTCGTCAGCGATTACAGTGAAGGTAAGATGAAACGTCTGGGTCTAGAGCCAACGTTCTTACTGTGTGTTTTGTACCTGATGAGAGGTTCTCAACCAAAAGGTCAGGCGTTGGTTTCAATGAAAGAAATTGGTGATGGAAGACTTGGATTTATTCTCCACTGGCTGTGGCTCTGTCCCTGCCTGAGTGGGGACAGTGGGACACGTGCTTACCTTGTCCCTTAGGGCTGGCTGTTCTTTGGAGAACGTATCGGTCCTAAGATGCTCCGAGACTGAACGGGTGTTTCAGATTTAGATACCCTCAAACCGTGCTCTTTGCTTCGAGAAAAACAGGCTCCAAATTGGAGGTGGTCTAAATTTCACACGGAGCGTTACAGAAAATAGCTTTTCAGCAGCAACATCTTCCTCACGCGCAGGAAAGTAACCCAAATTTAAAAGATACCTTGCGGTGCCTTGAGTACTTGTTATATACTGCTGTATTTTAAGGGTTTGTTTAATCTTTTCTTCTTAGTAAAACCCTGGAAATGAAGACAGCAGATTTGTATCTGTGGAATAAAAATCCTTACTTTTCCTGAGGATTGCTTAAGGAACATCCAGCAGAGGACTGCGACTGCCTGGTCCTGTGTGAGGATTATGCCTTTTAGCGGCTTGTTAACAGGCGTCTGAGTAGCTGAAGTTAATTCTGTTGGATGTACGAGACTTGCTTTGAAGTTTATAATATTACAAAGAGAAGCCCTATAAATTAGGTTGGCTCGGCAGGGCGACAGAGTGGGGGGAAGATGAGCACTGGGAAACGGATGATTTATCTCCGAGCCCGTGGTGGGTTTCATTGTGCTTCGGTTTACGCCAGGCCGCTCGCCCCTGCCAGCGCTGCATCTCTGCGAAGGTTAGCGAGGAGGGATCGTCTGGGGGAGGTTGGAAAAACAAATGGTAGAAATATTCCTTGCACATTGGCTGCTTTATGCAGCGTGGGGTTAGAGAGTTGCTTGTGTGGGTTTTGTGGAAACTAAATTGAGATGTTAGTGCCTATTTACTGCTGTTGCTTTCAACCGAGGCGGGTGTGGGAGCAAGGGACGCGGTAAGGCGAGATGGATGAGCGCAGGCGTGGGTGCAGAGCATCCCTGGGGAGCGGGCGTCTGCCCGAGCAGGCTGTGATGTTCCGTTACCAGCTGGCTGCACAATCCTGTCAACGCCGTGTCATTCAGCGGGTGACAAAAGACACCGGGTCGGGTTCCCCCCAGCCCATCTGGTTACAGGTAAAACAGCCACTGACAAATGAGAAGGAATAATTACCCTTCAGGGCTGGATCCAGCCTCGGGCTCTTGGACGGCTCTGGGCTCTGTGCAGGGAGTTTGGGTAGAGGGAAGAGAAGGAATTCTGCTGACGGATGCCACAGATGGGTGTAAATGCTTAATAACGCTCGAGACCAAACGTCTCCTGCATCCTGCTCACGAAAAGCATCATTTAGTGCATGGAAGATGGCTGGCTGTTAGAGAGCAAAGGTCTGTTGTGTTCTGCACGAGGCTGGGACTCCCAGACCGACCCAGAAACTGGGGACACCCCTCTCCAGGCCCCGAGGAACTCGCACAAAGACTTGTGTCCACTCTCTTAAGCAGCTCCACAGACTGTGGGTCTGTGTAAATGGAACCTTGGACTCTAAATGAGGTGACTAGGGGAGTTTGAGGGGGTTTAAAACTTTAAAATTCTTTTTTTTTTAACTGCAATCCATCTGTGAAAATGAGTTTGTAAATGGAAAAAAATGTCACTGAAGAGCAGACCAGGCAGAGGAAGAGACCCTGGTGCGTAAGCACCGAAGTGTATCAGGTTTTCAAACGAGCTCTGTTGGAGGCTCTTTATATGTTACCACCGCTGATGATCAATAGAGTCTGGGAATTTTTCACTCTGCTCTTAACTTTCAAGTGATTTCCCTTTGAAGACATAAAATATCTTGAGAGAAACCTATTTAAAAGAAGTGCAAATTACACTCAGAACAGTACTTACCACCTCTTGAGGTTTCTCCCAAAGGTTTGAGTTGATTTATAGTTAACAACAACCAAAAAAAGTGATGAAAATTGGTCCTTTTTCTAATTGTGCTTATTTGGGGGGAGAAAACGACCTCAAACAGTGGTCAGGTGTTGCCTGTGCAGTTGGTTTGCTCTCCCAAGTATCACAGAGCCTGTCTCCTACGCCACAGCTGCTGGGAGACTCGGTGGGCTCCGGGATGCTCCAGGGTGCTGCCCGCCCGCCGCTGGTACCGCAGCCGGGGGGTCGGTGCTGCTGCAGGAGCCAGGCTGGTGGCTCCAGCCGTGTTGGCTCGGGCTGTGCTCGTGCGAGGAGGTGGCAGGGGTGAGTGTTGGAGCTGTTTCACCCATTCCCACGTGGGAGTTGAAGAGCTGAGCCCTTCGTCCTGCGTGTGCATGTGTCATTTGCAAAAAGGGGAGCTGGATTTTAGACTCCATCTGACTTTCCCATGGCCTCCGCTGTCCCTTTGGATGTGTCACCCTTTCCAGCTGTGCCGTGTGCTCTGTGTGCGCGGGGGGCAGTCAGCACGAGACCGGTCGTGTGCCCCGGCGAGCGCGCCAACCTTCCCACGGGGATGGACTGCAGAATGCGTTTGCAGCTTGTCGTGAGGTTGTTGTGAAATGAAGGTTGCAGCTTCCAAAGCAGACGACTTTCTGCTTTGATTGTGTAGCAGCAGTTGGAATTCCTGCTTTAAAATGACAAAAAGAGAGCACGACTGTCTCCAGATGGCTTGTCACTGGAGGGAGATTTACCCTGGCACCGGGGCCAGATCTGACCGTCTTGTCCAGGGAACAAGCTGGGATGCTAACTACCTGCACTCAGCAGGTCGTTTCCCAGCGTTGGAAAGGTCTTGCTGTGCATGGAGGAGTATTGTCAAAACAGATCGTTTAGAAATCATGCTCAGTGGCAAACACAGCATTCTGAGATCTTTGGGAAAGTGAGGACATGTATATATGGCCCTAAATGTGATTCCCATTTCCTTAGTGGAATGGATTACATAATTAATTGTGACTAAGGGTGCAAATATGCTTTTTCCCCTGCTTGTTCATTGTTTGCACACTTACCCTTGTGTCTATGGAAGCTGTTCTGCTCCTCCTCACAGGGTTTGCTTAGGGTAGAAGGTCTGAGCTCAGTCACACAGCTGGACAGAGGCACGGCAGCTTTTATTCCTACAAGAATAACCATAATGAAGGTTGGAGCCAATATTCATTTAATTGGGATTTACTTGTAAAAATAAGATGCAGCGACTAGTAAGTGCGAAGAATGGCGCCTGCTTGCACCACTGCAGCCGTGGGAGCCTCTTGCTGGTGCTGAAATAACGAATGGTGACGTTCATAACTTAAAAATTTCCAGTCGCCTGCTAGCTGACTTCTGGGATCTCGCAAGGGAGCATCACCTTTGCATCCAGCTGCAGCTCTGAGCTTGGTTTAGGGCAGCGTTGGTTCCCGGGATGTGATTTTTACCATTGTCTGCAAAGTGCCTTGGAGTTTTTATAATTGCTGTTTTTCATCTGGCCGTGTACAAGAGCTCAAAATCCACCTCTAGGAAAGGAGCAGAATGTAGATGTGGGTTTAGGTGTTTTGCTCTTTTTCCCTTGTATGCAAACCCTGTGAAAGTGGTTATTCCTGTGCCGTGGGGCTGCCCTTGCCTTCGGTTCCTGCTGCGAGGTGTGAGCCTGGCCCCCCAAACCGGGTCAGTGGTTGGGCAGCCCAGCGTGGCCGGGTGCCTCGGGGAGCTCCAGTCCATGGGGACAGAAGGGGCTGCCCGGCCTGTCTGCCCCTTGGATAAGGAGGTCTCCTCCGAGAATGGCAGAGCCAAGGCAGAGGGGCAGGAGGCACCTGGGGCTGGTGTGCCATCCTTTTTGGGAGACCTGCATGAGTCCCACTGGGTCGCTTGCTTCACCCACCAGCTGAGAGGGCTGCCCACCCCACATCCCATCCCCCCCCCAGCTGCTTTGGGGTCTGTTACAGAAGTGTGGCAGGAGGAAGCGGCAGTGTCATGGCAGGGAAGACACCAGATTTCTAGGACTCCTTCAGGCAGAGAGCAGGGATAAAGCCAAAGGCAGGCTGGTGGATGTGCAGGATGAGCCTCTCATCCATGGGGAGCACAAAGCAACCAGGATGAGGTCCTGGTGTGTGAATAAGAGCGGAGGCACTGCGGGGGCTCGGGAGGACCCAGGGGTCAGGGCATCCCCAGGCTGAGCAGGGCTGGGACCAGGCAGGAGCGAGTCTGGGGGAGACATGGAAGGGAAACCTCTTGGAAACCATGGCCTTGGCGTAACAACCTGGATTCCTCTCTCTTCTTTCTCCGTGACTGTGCTCGGTGGGCTTATACACCTTTTTTTGTCTGTGTTTTTGTCTCCACCCAGGGCAGTGATGGTGACTCAGTGGATAAGAACAAATGCTGCACACTATGTAACATGTCCTTTACCTCAGCAGTGGTGGCCGAATCGCATTACCAAGGGAAAATCCATGCCAAAAGGTTAAAACTGTTGCTAGGTGAACAACCAGCATTAAAGGCCACAGGTAGGTCCAGAGCAGGAGGGTCCGTGCGGGGCGGCGCGGGCTCGCTGTGCCGGGGAGGCAGAGCCGAGGTGCCGGCTGGGTGCATGCGTGGCAGAAAATGGATAGCTGAGAGATGGAGACGGGCAGAAGCAGCTATTCATTTGTGTTGCTGTCATAACAACCTTTAAAAATTGCTGATGCTCATTATTGTCTGCTTTGTTCACATACATCAGTGGTTTATCAGCCAGGGCTGGCCTTCGTACGGGAGTCCTATCTCTGGCTCCACGCTTCTGAAATGGTTTGCTGGGTGGAAGACAATCTCTCCTCTGGGCACGAAAAGCCAAGCCTCGCTTTAATTATCAGAAGTTATTCGGCAGCTCAGCTAATACGTTTAATAAACCTTCTGTGTTACTGTGCAGAGCAGAATATCATTTGCTTTTACCTTAGAGGGAAATCTAGTCTTTAAAAACTGTTGGATCGATTGTCTTTTGATTTTTGCCCAGATGGGTATTCATGCTTTCCTCCGCGGTGATTCCGATAATGCAGGCCTATTAACTTCCACATTTAACAAGTCAAATGTTGGGATCGGATAATTTGACCATCGTACTGTTTGCTTAACCATAAAGCCCCTGCAAACCGCTGATATACTGTGAAACAAAACTTTCTCTGTGCTCATCGGGCCGGAGGATACTCGAATCAAATATTCTTCATGCTAACCAGGCAGGATAACGGGGCGGCAGCGGTCCTGCAGTCGGATGTATTTCAGTATTGCCACGAGCAGCACTTCCCTCAGAACAGAGTGTGAATTTAGCTGTGCCTTTTACATCCTGCCTAACACGATGTGCGTAGATCCCAGGTGTGGTTGAATAAGAGGGGCTTGGCTCTCTGCGTGTGTATTCATTGCTTTTTTAACTTTGCCGACTGTAGACGCTGATGCATGGGATGCAATTTGTCCTTTACCAGGATTGGCTTTGGGAAATGTTATCCCCTTTGCCTGAGGGAACACAGGGAATGGCGTTAGATGGTGCCTCACTTGTTTTAACCAGCCAGTGCTCTCAGAGGGCTCGGTAAGGGCAGGCGCAGCAGGGTTCACCGGTCACCGAGGTGCATCTGGGCACTGCGGGGGGCTTTGGGTGCCGGCTGTGATCCCGTGGGTGGCAGGGGGGCTGGCAGCCCCTGGCCATCCCTGCAGCAGGCCGGCAGGATGGGTCTGGCATGGACCAACAGGATAATTTGCAGTTTACACGTTTTAGGGCGCCTCGGGCTGTTCTCTGCAGCAGGCAGATAATTAGAAGGGCACGGAGAGAAGCAGTTTAATTGTCCGGTGCTTGCGTTGGTGCTCAGAACCCCATCCCTCACGGGCAGCCTTCTCCTCCTGCCACAATACCTAGTGTTTCTGTTAAATCCAGGGATAGCGCATGCACTGACTCCCACGTAAGCTGCACGTTTGGATTCACACCCACCAGCAGCAAAAGAGTTGCTGTTTTCACCCCTGGGACCCCGCAGGGCTGGTGCTGTTCGGGCAGGTCAGGGGGAGCAGCGGGGAGCCTGGGGTGTGCCTGCGGAGCTGGAGCTGTGCGAAGGCAGACGGACAAACCGTGGGGAGAGGTTTGTGGTCGATGGTGGGAGAGGACTGATCCCGGCGCAGCCGGTGCCGGTGGATATCTTGGACTCTGGTGAGCCAGCGTTTCTGTCGATGGCATCGGAGATGCACGTGGGCCGGCCGTGGGTAGATGAGGGCTGGTGGCACCCTCTCCTCTGTTAGAAACCTCTCTGAAGCAATGCTGAGGCTGACTCTCCGTGGGGTCTGTGCCAGACTGTGCAGCCTTGCCATGCTGCCCACGGATACAGAAGCTGCAGGGCACTGTCCAGGCAGGGTTTTCCAAGAGCTGCAGCTTTGCCTTGTATTTTTATCTAATTTTTTAATCCTCTGGATCAACCTCGCAGAGGCTCTAAGTGAGCTGCACCGCGTGCTCTGAGAGTAATGGGCTCTTCATCTGTCGTAATCACTAGGAAAGAGGAACTCAAGGACTCATCAGCTCTTCCAGACACTTGATCTGATGAAGCTGAGCTGCAGGAATACATTAATAAGCACCTCCTTACTCCCCAGTAGTTCTCAGAAATGTGCCCTTGGACACAGCATTTTTCTGGGCTTCCTACAGAGTCACCCAGCGTTTTTCCCCTGGATCTCTCCCAGTTCTTCATGGCTGGCACCAGGGAGCTTTTGGTCTGGCAGGCAGAGCTTCAGAGGCTCTGGTGCTCATGAGTCCTGGGAGTGACTGGGCATGGCCAAGTGTGCTGGATGCTCCCGAGGGGTGAGCATCATATCCCTGGGGGCTTCCCACCTGCCTGGCCAGCAGCCTGGCCTGGTGGCGGGGGGCTGTGCCGACTGTGAGCCGTGGCTATGCTGTTTTCCATAGGATCCTATCACCGAAGTTATCTAGCCATTTTTCTTCCCCAGCTCCGTGGAAGAGCACTCCAGAGGCTCCCACACATCATCCTTAAAGCCCTGATGGCCAGAAGGCTGGTGAACGCTTCGGTGTCAGCTTTGAGACCCCTGTGAGGGAGGATGGACATGCTGGCAGTGAATTGTTCCTTGCTCTGGTTCCCTGTAATTAAAGGGCTGTCTGGAGCGCTCAGTCCCGGAGCCACCACTTATGGGGCAGTGATGTAGTTGGTGGTCTCACCTTTTTGTGGGGTGAGTCGTGGTTTGTTTTCCCTTTGATTTTCTTACAGAAGATAAATAACAACCTGCTCAGAAGTGAGCCGCTAACTTGTGGCAATTAAGAGGTATTCATAATCAGCAACGTGTTGCTGCTGAGGGATCCAACCCCTTCTGATGTTCTGGGGACCTGGAAGTTGAGCCCAGTGACCAGGGAGCGGGTGCTGGTGATTTGGGAAGCACGAGCTCATAGTGTAATTCGTTGGCATCTTTAAAAGAGATCAAGCTGCTCTTCTGATCATAACAGGGTAATCCTTCAGATGGATATATGGGTTGAACATTTTATTTGGTGCTTCCCTAAGCACTTAAGTGTTTTTTAACTTTCATGTGTGATCAAAAAAAGTGAGAAAGACTCTATACAAATATTGGAGCTCTCAACATCTTTTAATCAAAGAAAAAAGCTTAAAATGTTTTCAGAGTTCCCCAAGTGCTCCCATTATGGATGAGACTAAACATATACTGTTAATCTGAAAAGGTATTTTAGCAGCAACAGGCAAGTAAAAATAGGTAATAGCCTCCCCAGCGTCTGCTTTTGGCCTTGCACAAGAAGTTATTCCACTACCTTGGACTGTTGTGAAATTCTTTGTTGGCTGTTTTCTTAATTAGTGGGTCTGCGTGTAAAGGGAGGAAAGGATTCGTGAAATGCTTTGCACGACTGTCTGTGCAGGAGTCATTTCGTGCATGCAGATATGCAGTTGGCTCTGTGCAGCACAGCATCTTTTTAAGTTGCACGGTAACGGAATGAACTTGGGGGACAAAATGAAGATGAATGAATGCAGTGGAAACTGCAGGGGAAATTAGGAAGAATTTTTGAGCTGTTTGAAGAGCAGC